GGGTCGATTTGAGAGATTGCGCGACGAGAAAAGTATGGGTGTCGATCTGGCGACTGCGTAATTGAGCGATCCAGCGTTTTGGGTGACGTTTCCGACAATTGCGCGACAAAGGAGTGGATGGGTACGGATCGGCATCCGGTCGCTAGCGATTGCGGAGATCCGGCGATCTAACAACTTGGGAGGTTGAACGATCCGGCGATTCCTCGAAACGCCGGATCGCCGAGTCTCCCAAATCGCTGAATCCCCTCTGTCGCAAAGTATGAACGCTGCCTAAACCTAAAGAGTGTGAATTCTTCCAGTACTGTCTTCCTTAGTTTTTCTTTTTTTTCTCTATCTACCATCACTTACTATAAGACGATTGTTTCAGTATGAGGATCGCCGCGTGTCGTTTCTTGCAAAGCTCCCGCCAAATTCTCGGCAGCCTAAGAATGTCGTCCGCCAAAGTAAGTGAAAATCAGTTTTCAGTTCTCTGGTTGTTTATTTACGGGAAGTTTTTGTACGAGATTCATGGTAGATCACCCTGAGACCGCGTGCGCACTAAGCATTTCTGTGAATCAGAAATTCTGCGAAAATAGGTAGATACGTATGGATTACTGGCTGCCCAGATGAAGGGTTGATCCTGTCAGTGCTGAGACACATCTATGGAAAGTCTACTACGTTAGATCTACTCACATTCATGGTTCAGTCAGGTTCATGCGCTCATAACCATAGCAGACCTGAAGCATGGATTTTCCCTAGTGATTCGTTCAGGTCTGCTGTGATTATGAGCGCAAGCGTTTTCTAGCACGTTGGCGATTTTTTTCCTTGCGATTAGCCGGGGCAAAGAAAATGCACTTTACCCAGAGCAGCGTAGGGTCTTAGAGGACCTCTACTTGCTTTCTGGCCAGAGGAAGGCGCATGAATTGGGACATTTATCACAACTCGGTTCCAATTAGTAATTAGAAATTAATTATGGAATCTCATCAAATGCGAACCCCATCGATTGGATCAAATGCAGGAATCCCATGATATGCGCCGGGTGAGGCATGAAGCCAGTCGCAGGGTGCATCCCTTGCATAACTGATCGCGCCACATTGTAGTGTAGGATGGAGTGGTATGTGGGTAGAGCGTGGAGGAAGAAGTAAGGCTCTGGTTGTTTCTACATGAGTTTCTGTTCAAATGGGTATGTTTCAAGGGTATGAAAATGCTGCAGCTCTCACGCTAGTTTTATCTCAGCGGCTTGTTGTAGACATTCAAGGCATAGGAAAAGATGAGACTGTTTTAGTTCAACATTAGTGCAACTGTCTACCATGTACCTGGTGTACGTGCATTTGATAGCAAATATCCATACGCGGTCTTGGTTTCTTGTAAACTTCTATTTGGTAATAACGGTCTTAACAGGCCAGTAACAATGACGCCAAACTCTGGACCGATGGCGGCTCAGCTTTTGAGAATAACCTCAAGGCAAATGGTAGATGTCTTCACCAAAAGAAAAGGGAATAAAGAGCTAGGAAGTAAGAAATGTAAGGTGTATGAAAACGAAATTGAAAGAGCATGAAAACAATCATTATAAATGGAAGAAACAGCGAAGCTGGTGGATGGATTGCAAGGAAAGCTCCAGATGATGCAATACTTGTGGAGGCCGCGTCGCCAGTAGGGGCGTGAGTAACGTCAATCCAAGCCGGCGCAGTCATAGCTCTCCCTTGAGGATGTTGCTGGTTCAGTAGCTTTACCTGCTTTCTGTGAATCTCAAGGGGGACTTATGTACAGGTTAGCCTACCTACCTAGTGGGTGATGGCGTTATCCCGGCCTGTGTTGAATCTACGTCTACACGTATTCGAGAAGTGCGACCATGTAAGTGGTCGAGATATTAGAATAATTTTTTTTTCAGGTCTTAGTTCGAGATAACATTAACCCTCAAGTGATTACTATGCAATATGCCGTTCGAGGGCCTATTGTCATACGAGCAGTGGAACTAGAGAAGGAGTTGGAGCGGGTTTGTATCGTTCAGAATAGTTGCCCGCAGTTTTTTTCTTCTTCTTCTTCTATACTTGGTCGTTACTTTGTTTCTTTTATTTTTCAGTTTACTTTTACTTGCAGGGCGCGAAAAAGCCATTCACAAACGTAATCAAGGCCAACATAGGAGACGCGCATGCCATGGGCCAAAGCCCACTCACTTTCAATAGGCAGGTGAGTCAAGTGTTTACATAAAAAAAGCATGAAATCAGGGTGCAGCATCGGGGTCGGTAATCGGTCACTACCAGGGCACGCCATTGCGTTGTGATAAATTCCTGAAAAATACGACCCTCCCAATTCCATCCTCGGATATGACCCCCCCCCAACAACGACCAAACACGAGTCCTCCTCCTTTATGGCATCCGTGAGAGAAATCAACTTTCAAGAAATTTCTCTTACCAAATACGACCCCCCCCGTTGTGAGTATCACAGCGATAGCGTGCCCTGGTCTACGCCCAACCCCCTCCCCCCGAATTTCCTACTCTGCTAGGACCCTTCCACAACCCGCCACCTTGCCCAAAACCTGTGGTTGAGGGAAGAGGGTAGGGCGCGTGAAGCGGTAGAAATGAACAATCGAAAAATTTGTGTCGAGTACGACCTCCCCCTGAGTCTCGCACAACGATGTTTTGCCCATAGTTGAATACCAGCGCCGCTTTTCCAGATATATCTGGTGTCCATTAGGCGAATAAACCTTGGAGAAAGGGCCTTGAGGTGACCGGGTAGGTTCCGTCACAGATTGAGTCGTGGTTGTATATATGTGGTAGGTGGGTGTTGCTCCTCTCCTGTAATTTACATCGGTTCCTTGTTAAGTACATATTATGCGCCAGGTCTAACCACTAGACCGACCCGTTTCTGTGAGTGGTGATCGGCAACCGTTCAAGGCACGTCGCACGGTGGGAATCACCAACGGGGGGGGGGCATATTTGGTCACAGCGGGTGGTATTTGACATGGAGAATTTATTTCTGATTGTTGATTTTCCCCGCTCTCTGCGCGACATACTCCTTCCTAATCAACGGCACTTGAATACTATTATTCTACGGAAGTCGATCGGAGGTGTCCCTCCCTGCTCAGTCAAATTTTTGGGGCGTTCGATAAGATAATTTGTCGGCTGGAAAACATGGGGGATCGTATTTAGCAAATATTCTCCCTAACACCAATAGGAGCCCAGGAACGATTACTCTTACCTTTTCTCCCACTCAGTGGTCACCAAGTGTCAGTGCCTTCTCCTCGGGAAAGTTCTACTCTACCTTCCACGCGCGTCTCTCCTCACTAGACCTTCACAGTATGCTATTTTTTCAGTTGATCGCTTGTCTTGCGAATCCTTCGCTGATGGAAACTGCGAACTTCCCTTCTGATGTAGTTGAACATGCAAAGGTGAGAGATTTTTCCCTTTAGGGAATAACAACAGTTGAGCAGTACTCGTAACATTAGAACGATACAGGCTAGCCTAACGCTGATACTACTACTTTTATTGAACTCGTATCAGTTCTGATGATGGCATTTTTTGGATAAGAATAATTTTTTTCTTTAAGGCTCTGATTTGCTGCTGCGGAGGAAAAAGCTGTGGCTCCTACAGTCAGAGCACAGGGATTGACATAATCCGAAAGCATGTGGCAGAGTTCATCGCGGTAAGTTCTGCTATAGACCCCTTTCTCATTATTTACTTTTTTGGACCATATTCTGGGAAATACGGGTCAGATTTTCATCGAGATTCGTATCCGACGATAGACGTGGATAGGAGTCCCATATCTGGGGTAGATTGGCCTGTGTATGGACATAGATCCGTTTGATAAGAAGTCGCTCTGGAATGGCGTCACAGATCCCGGTGTTTCGGAAACGTGCGGCGTCGAAGTTTGTGATGTGGACGTCAGGCATTTCCGCTTCAAAAACGGGGTCATTTGTACTGGGGAGGCCAGACTTTTTGAGG